TTTTCTCATATGGGGTTCAAACCCCACTGCAGTCAGCATGTCGTTGTGTCCCTGGGCAAGACACTTCACCCCAAATTGCTCCTGTGGGGATTGCCCACAGTATTGAGTATGTAAGTCGCTTTGGATAAAAGCGTCTAACAAGTAACATGCAATGTAATGTAATGTAATATACTTCTATAGAATTGGACCTCTTATTCATACCAGCCTAGTCACCTTCGGCTGGCCATTAGAAAGAATGTCAATGTGTACATCGAGCAACTGCTAGCTGTCTAAAAGCATCTTAGGCAAGGCAAGGCAAGGCAAGTTTATTTATATAGCACCTTTCAACACAAGGTAATTCAAAGTGCTTTACAAAAATGGAAGACATTTTAAAAATGGCATTTAAAATCAGTCATTAAAAAGGAAAGATAATAAAATAAACATTAAAAGAAAAAATACATGGATAAAAGTTAAAAGTTACAGTGCAGTTTAAGATGTGAATAGTTCAATTAAAAGCAGCGGCAAAAAGAAAAGTCTTCAGCCTGGATTTAAAAGTAGTAAGAGTTGCAGCGGACCTGCAGGTTTCTGGGAGTTTGTTCCAGATATTTGGAGCATAATAACTGAATGCTGCTTTACCATGTTTAGTTCTGACTCTGGGGACAGAAAGCTGACCAGTCCCTGAAGACCTGAGGGTTCTGGATGGTTCATAATTTAGCAGTAGGTCAGACATGTATTTTGGGCCTAAACCATTCAAAGCTTTATAAACCAGCAACAATATTTTGAAATCTATTCTTTGACACACAGGAAGCCAGTGTAAAGACTTCAGAACAGGAGTGATGTGATCCACTTTCTTAGTGTTAGTGAGGACTCGAGCAGCGGCGTTCTGAATTAGCTGCAGCTTTCTAATAGATTTTTTAGTGAGGCCTGTAAAGACACCATTGCAGTAGTCGAGTCTACTGAAGATAAAAGCATGGACAAGTTTTTCCAAATCCTGCTGTGACATTAGTCCTTTAATCCTAGATATGTTCTTTAGGTGATAGTAGGCTGATTTAGTAACTGTTTTAATGTGACTGTTGAAACTCAGGTCAGAGTCCATGACTACACCTAGATTTCTGGCTTTATCTGTTGTTTTGAACATTGCAGACTGAAGTTCAGCGCTAACTTTTATACGTTCTGCCTTGGCTCCAAAAACCATTACCTCAGTTTTATCTTTGTTTAATTGGAGAAAGTTCTGACACATCCAGTCATTGATTTGTTCAATGCACTTACTCAGTGTTTGAATTGGAGCATAATCTCCTGGTGAAATTGTTACGTAAATTTGTGTGTCATCCGCATAGCTATGGTAACTTATTTTGTTGTTTTTCATTATCTGAGCCAGTGGTAGCATGTAGATGTTAAAGAGAAGAGGCCCCAAGATGGAGCCTTGAGGTACCCCACATGTCATATTTGTCAACTCAGATGTGTATTTACCTATAGAAACAAAGTTTTTTCTGTCCTTTAAGTAGGACTCAAACCAATTTAGAACTGTTGCCGAAAGTCCCACCCAGTTTTCTAGTCGGTCTAGTAATATGTTGTGGTCAACAGTGTCAAATGCAGCACTGAGATCTAATAATACTAACACTGAAGTTCTGCCACTGTCTGTGTTTAAGTGGATGTCATTGAAGACCTTTACAAGAGCAGTCTCAGTGCTGTGGTTTGGACGAAATCCTGACTGGAACACATCCAAACAGTTATTTAAATGCAAGAAGTTACTCAACTGTTGAAATACTACTTTTTCAATGATTTTACCTAGAAATGGCAGGTTTGATATTGGCCTGTAATTGTTCATTACTGAGGCATCTAGATTATTCTTTTTTAAGAGCGGTTTAATGACTGCAGTTTTCAGGGCCTCTGGAAAAAATCTTAAGCCAACTAATTAACATTTTGTACCAAGGCTGCCCGATATGACCAAAATATGCGATAAGGTTGTTTATAATAAGATAACGATATTTATTAGACATATTGAACATTGAACTAAACCCAAAGTACAAAGATAAAAGGTGTACATTGGTTTCCAAAGTCCTGTTTATTCCACTTTTTAAACTATTACAAAAAATGTGAGTGCAATAGCGCAATGTGTTTATCGCGATGGTTGAGGTTTATCGCGCCAGGGTTAAAAGAAACGGTATAGTTTAGCCATATGTCACATATTTGTTCCCTCTTAGTTGAAGTGTAGCATTTACTTCCATATCTTATCATTATCATTAGATTACCAGGCAACCAGCCAAGTCAATACTCCCGGTCAAAAGATACCCTTACATAACTGTCTGTAAACCAACAAAATACATGTTGTTGTTACATTGAATGTTTTCCATTATTATCCATCCATTATCTGTCACAACTTATTATTTAAAGGGTTGCCATTCACTCACAGAACATGAGTAAAATAAGAAGATGTAATGTCCAATATTATGAGATTGAGATGTGTTAAGATGTGTTGGTTATTTGTGGTGAGAGTCTGTTAAAATATTGTAAAACATACTCAAAAGACAGCATTTATGTTGCACTTTTATCTCTTTTTTTTTGTAATACAATTGACACACACACACACACACACACACACACATCAATGTCAGTAGGCCACCATGCAAAGCACCAGCCTGACATCTGGAGCAATTGAGGTTAAGTGTCTTGTTGAGGACACTTCACAATGTGGACACGGTAATTAGGGAATAATCTGCTGAGCCACAGCCTTCCTGTCCTGTTATCTTTGGACAGAGCCAGGCTAGCAGTGGTTTAGTTTGTAATGCTACGCTAACCTGCTACTGGCTGTAGCTTCATATTTACAGTACAGATGTAAGAGTGTATTGATCTCCTAGTCTAACAATGGGCAAAAAAGCTTAGTTGAAAAACTGTTGGACTACTCATTTAAATATAAGCTTTACTGAATGAAAGACAGATTTAGGACTGCTTGACATTGGTGACAGCTGCTAGAACACACTGTAGCGTCTTTGACAGCTCCTGCCGGGTTACAATGGAAGTCATTAAAAGCAGTTTTGAGAATAGCTTTTTAAGTGCAGTTTATGGCTAATAATTTCAAAGCTCTCTAAGTGGTTAGAATTGTACATGTTCCCTGTATATTATTCCCTCATTTTGTAATCGTGTTTTTCAGTGACTCTATCCAGTAGTTAATTTACCTAGCACATTTATTATCCTCTAATTATACAAGCGACATACTGCACAGTGCTTGGCTGCACATTAGTCTTCTTTCCATTCCAACATTCTCCTTGAAACACACTGTACGAAACGGACACACTGCCAAGAAATTAGATTTTGGCAATGGCTCCATGCTTGTATATTAATAGAGAAGTCAGCGTCCAATATGAAATGAATCCCTGAAGTTGTTGATACCTCACTCAGATTTAATATGTGTGTGCAGACAGTCCGTTGTTGTGACATTAGAGTTTAACAGTAGGCTTCCTGCCAGGGTAATTTATGTCTCAGCCCCGGCTTTAATGCACTGTTAGTCACAAAGCTGTCAGTGTAACATTCCCTGTGTGTATTCTGGACCAGTACTCTGCACAGTGAGCGCAGTAAATCATCAGGATATGTGGAAGTTTCCTTTCTAAGCCTAGTGCAACAAAACATGCATGTAGAGAGGTGCACATTAACGCATCAATTCCTCACATCCTGGTGTCATTGCACAATGCCGTTATCAGAGGGTTTGCTACTGAAACCTGCCCGATGTTAGGGACAATGAAGAGGCCGACAGACAGATAGACAATCAAGCGGGCGACAGCAGATAACTGGCTCTCAGGGAATCGGAATTACAGCAATAATTAAGGCTGAATGGGGGTTTGATTGCACATAGCCCTTTCGGCGACTTTGCTCGAGTGTGCCATTACCAGTTAGCATTAGAACATTAATATTCATCTCAATCATTTTGGCCCTAAGGAACAGCAGAAACCAGGGAAATTGTTTTCTCTGATGGTGTATTTGGTGCAGAGGGATTTTTGCCCCTCGCTGAATAATGTGAGGGTCCTTGAAGTTGTGGTTTATATCTTCCTTAAGGCAAAGAACCCTGACCCCTGCTTTGAATGGAACAAAGTGTCGACAGACGAAAAGGCTCCTGCTTTAGCATGAAATGCACAGATCCAGAAATATTGAGGGCATTTCATTAATTATGTGGGTGTTTCTTCTCTTGAAAAGGGCATTTTGTAAAGGGTGACATAGTTTAACCTTCATTATCATAATTTGCTAAATGGCAACAGGGGCCGGTTGGAAAACGGACATTTTTCATTTTCTTTGAAGGTCACAGAAACAAAAATGGAACATCAGAAATGTTCGTTTTACTGACCTGCAATCATCTATGTTAAAGCATGAATCAAAGTCAAGATTCTTTATGGCTTTCCTTTAAGTGGAAAGGGGGTCCGTGGACAAAACATATAACAAACATAAAAAATGATACTTCTAGGTATTAGCCATAGGAATCTGCTACATTTCGATGTAAGATTTAAAGTCTGACATGAGTGCTATAAGCTATAATTTCAACACTAAATTGGGTCAATTGTGATTAGGGTTTGCACTGGGAATGTTTAATTTTGCTGTGGTATTTTATTCCTTAAAGATTGGCAGTTTTTTTATCATATCTTTTGTTTTTTTAACTCGTGTTTGCTGGCAAATATGCACAACATTCATGGACTCACTAATCAACTTATTTTAGAAGTTGGTTTTATCCATGCACATTGATGTACTTATAGCTGAGATTTTAACCCTCTATTTGCTACTGGAGACTTGGTGAACATATTACATTGGCTATTAATATATGATTTTTAGACAAACTATGAACCTAATACATGACCATATCTCTGTCATAATGTTTATTGAATTCACGCAAGTAATGCAACACTCAGTAAGTCAACACCCCATATTTGTATCTGCAATCCAGTGTTTATACGTTTTTGGTTTGTGATTACAATCAGAAACATATGGCTGTAATCAATGACACCCCAGACCCCTAAAAAACAGGTGTGAATACATACCTTTTTCTTTGATGCCTCTGACTTTTTGGACATATTTCTCAGTTTTTTGTGCAAGTGATTTAAAACCTGCAAGCAAGAAAATAGAGGTGAACTGTATGTCTTTAAAATAAAGTCCATAATTATTAAACGACCGGTTTGGAAAGCTTTTCCTTACCTTTGCATAACAGAAGGAAATCAGCAGCAGAGGCAACACATAACCAAAAATAAACGTGCACACCACATATACTTTCTTCAGAGTTTTTGGCCAATCTTCCCAGCAGTAGGTTTGATTATCCCCCATGCGGAAGATTTTCTGGTAGTACATGACGGGCGCAGCCATGACCAGGGAGAGTATCCAAATCACCATCACCCCAATCAGCGCGTGCCTCGCCACCCGGATAGAGGAGGACTTCCTGGAGTGCACAATGGCAATGTATCGGTCCACGGACATGGCAGACAGGGTGAAGATGCTCACCAGCATGGACACGGTGAAAATATAGTGGCTGAATTTGCAAATGAATGCGCCCAGGACCCAGGACTGCATCATGTAGACGACGGACTGGAAAGGGATGCAGAAGAGCAGGTAGGACAGGTCTGCGATGCTCAGGTTGAGGATGAAGATGTTGGTGGTGCTCCGTGGCTTCCCCGGTTTGCTCCGGGCCAGCACGGTGATCACCATGGAGTTGCCCAGCACACCGAGCATAAAGATGAGTCCAAACACCAGCAGCGTTATGAAAATATCCGCGCCGATGCCGAAAAGTTTCTCCCCTTCTTCCTCCGCTCTGCTGCGGTTCCACTGCTCCCCCAAGAGCCACCCAGACTCCGAGTCGTTCATGATGTATTCTTCCTCCTATATATTAACTTGAAAATGATCTCAATGAGGTCTGTGCAGAGGTTTTAGGGGAAAAGGTTTGTTGTCCGGTGCGTCTCCATGCGCGCTCCTCAACACACTTGTCTTTCTTGCGTCTTACTCAAGATTTCGCTATATCCCTTTACTTTTTCTTACGCCTCACATTAGTAACACTTCTAAACAACAGTACTTTCTTCGCTGTAAAGCATGCATTGTCTCGCTGCTGCGCGTCTTGGAGTCTCTCCTGGTGCGCACCTGATGCGTCTGCGCGCCGTCCGCGCTGATCCGCTCTGAAGCCTTGCCTCTTTGTGTGTGGACTTTTCCCCTTCACATTATAGCAAGGGGCCGGGCTGAGGCGTTCACGTCAGCACCCAGTACACCACCCTCCCAAGGAATAGGGAAAAGTAATCAAATGGATACATTTTGTCATTCAGCCTGTTTGCATTCGTGTGCAACTGTAATTGGCAACATTGTGTGCCAACAACAATCTAGTTTGACTGTCTTGCGGTTGCCTTATTTGAGTTTCATGATTGTTTTATCCCAAAGCAGAAGTAAGCAAAAAAAAATGTATAACTGGAAAAGTATATAAAGCAAGTACTTCTGTTGTGTGTGTCGTTGTGAAATAAGTATTCTACCACAGTGTAGAAAAAAAGTCCTACATTTTATATACTTTATTTCTCAAGTAAAAGTTATCAGGTATTAACATCCAAATATATTCAAGTGGCCTCTATTATGGGTTTCCCCTTCCTGTAGTGCTCTATAGGTTTTGGTGCATGTAAATGGTCTTCAAAGGCTAAAATCCCAACACTTGCGCTTCCATTGGCTAGTGTTCCAATACATTGTACGTGATAGGCTAAGGTTATCTGTTACCAGTTGATCAGAGCAGAATGGGCTTCCATTTCAGACCAAGACAGTTTATTTTAATATGATTTTATGCTACCGAATAGCATAACCTATAATAATATATTCAAATGTTCTTATTTAAATGTGATAATAATAAAACCTAGTAAGTATTAAATGCTTTCAAATAAATGTAGTGGAGTAAAATGCACAATAATTGCCTTTTAAATGTTATGTTTAAAGTAGCATTCTCGAGTCCAACAAAATTGTACTCAAGCAAATGTACTTAGTTACTTTCCATCACTCCAAGCTGTCAATAGTAGCAGTGTAATAATGTGGAAAATACATTTTAATCTCATGCAACTTAAACACTTGTAAACAGTGCTGGAGTCTGCTTTGTTTCTAGAGATAAAGCCATGAGAGTTGTGTGCACTCTCATGCTCACTTTGTAAACAGGTCTAATTTCCATAGCCCATCCATTACAATTTGCTCTCATTAAAAACCAAGACTTGCAAATAGGTTTAAAGACTCTGAACAAGCACTGTATCATATCTGATTTGATTCATCTTTGGCTCCATCTTGGGGCTCATTTCTGTGTTGTTTGATTGCCAAGTAATGATTCAACGGTAAACCAGGATGTTTCAATTCTGCAACCTGCAATGACTGATGGTGTGTGACTCTTGGAATAAGTGGTTGATCACTTGTGAACACAATGTTGACATATTCTCACTGTTTAGGTTGCTATGGTGGACTTATTAACAAACAGTGGCTCATTTATGAATCTAGCAGGCATGTAGTAACAAGATCCTTTAATCTTTTAGTTGTTTCTGCGACATCGTTGTGAATATAAATCCAATATTCAAACTCTTTTAGCTCTGTTTTTGGTCTCCATCAACAGATTTCTGGGTCCTAACCTGCTTTTGGTGCTGCTGTGTTTTTTTGTGTCGGTTCAGTGGTTATCACTGCTTTTTCTGCTTCAAACCTTCTAGTTCTTTTTTGTTCCGACCAATCTTGAAATGGTAAACAAAGCACTCCCTGTGTGCTAGACGGGACTTCTGTCAGGAGGAAAAACAGTACACAGAGAGGGTTAACAACAGAAAATCCTAAAGCTTTTTTTAAATGCATACGTTGTGTTGTATTTATCATATCATTGGTTTCATACTATCATGTGCAAAAGTTTAAAATGCAGAGCTATGATTGTAATTGTTTTTTTATGCACTGATCTTGAGGTTGAGGATTTGGCTTTGTTGCTTTCATAACATTTCTTAGAAAGAAAACAACCGCAATTCACATTTCTGTGTTTATTTTTCTTACATTGTTGTTTAGCATGTTTAGATCCCGCCTAAATTCTCCAAAAGTAAGCATGAATCAATGTCTCATTTGCATATTTTAACATACATAACATTTCAGAAATAATTGTGGTTAATAGGATCACTGTTCAATTGTGGTGCCTTGCAAAATATATAAATCAAGCTTTTATTCTCATACTCCAAAATTCTCCTATTCAGTATGAACACACATTTTTACAGTTTGATTTCTACTGTATATCTATATTCTGATGTTTTTTACAGAGGCATGTTCATATGTCATTAATAGTCTGATTTATATAACATTTACTCCAAACACATATATACACATAATAGACTTTTTTTGTAGTTGCTGACATATTTTCAAATGCATTAAGTGATACAAAGAGATATCCAAAAGTCCCTCCGTAAAAATACAGGTACAAATATTTGACTCTGATGTGCCAAAGCTATGCCAAGTTTTATCCAATGTTCAGAATTCAGTTTCAGAAATGTAATGTGTGCAAAATAGCAAATAAATAAAGACTTTTCTAACATTCAAACATATTTGCCTGTAGTACTGGCTTACATCTAGCTATTCAGCAAACTGCTATAACACCTTTGGATGTGAACTCTCTTCATCCATTTTTCATTTTATGTTCCTGCCTGATCTCTCATGGCACAGGCAATTTTTTTTCTCGCATCAGAGAGAAGCACTGGGGGCATTTCCTTGTGACTGGACAGTGAATGCTTCCATGTCAGAAAGCACGCTCCTTTTCGCTGTCCATTGTTTGCCTTTCTACTCCTCCACTGACATCTTTTGTATTGGGTTGTGTCCCATTAGATTCTAGCTGAGTTAGAAGAAAAGAGTGCAGGCAGTGATGGCCACTAAGCTGAAAGGCGGAGGTGAGGAATGGCCAGTATAGAATAATATACTGCTAAAGCAAAAAGAAACCGTATACTGACAGAAGGCGAGGCCGAGTGGAGAAAACACACACCACAAGATCCATCTATCCATCTGGACATGATTAGATTGAATGTAGTTTAGAAATGGTCAATTTAATTGTCATTCAAAGGTCAGACGCACAACAACAACAACCAATACAAAGCTACATTAATAAAAGGTTATTCTACAATAATAAGATAGAACATAATGTATACTATTGACTTTTTAAACAACTCCACTTACAGTATAGTAGAGGAAAAAGCCAAAAAAAGCTTTAGTTGTTGAGATACCCCAACGTTGAGTAGTGAGCATTTTCGATAACTCTTATTTGTCTATTGTTTTCCCAATAGATGGTTGTAAAAAACATTTTACTTCAAATGAAATAGTGAAAAAATCTTCTTTATAACATGTATCTCCAAAACCGTCTATATTTTGTTGTCTTTTATGTATGAAAACTGTTATCATTTTATATAGAAAGTTGACATTGTTGGGGGATTAGTCTCCTCACTTTAATAATGACATAATACTAAATATAAATACCTTTTGGATATTGAATAATGATGGAGTAGCAGCTGCGCAGTGTTTTGCAGTTGTACGTGTTTTCATCGTAGTTCTTTAAACCTCTCACAGTGTTGTGGTCACCTGAAATGTCTTGTTCATTTGTACTTAGATCGTCCCTTTCGTGTCAGTTTTGGCTCCAAAAAAACAAAATGGCGAAAGACACTTAATCGTAATCCACAAAACCATTGGGGGACGAATTGGTTAGTCCACTTATTTTACTTTGTCCATAGCAAATACTCATGTCCATTAAACTCCATGACCAAATTGGTGCAGGCTTTCTCTAAGAAAATCTGTAGTGACATCAGGGTTAAATCTCAGACTTAAGAAAGCTCACTAAGACTCTACACAACTGGTTCCATAGGCTGTGCTCCTTTAAAATGGTATTGTATATATCGTCTCTAACAAAATAACGTCATCGCATTGACTGTAACACCAACCAGCAGCCTTTTACAATAGCCTGTTATCTTCTCTTTTTTTATTTCTACGCATAGTTTATGTATATCTTCCACTAGATGGGGCTAATTTGTATAAAGGACATTGATTTAGGAACTCAAATGCAGATGTGATGGGAGTCTATTGTTAGCCAAATGTGCATTTTCGAGTGTCCTGGCCCAGCTGAACGACTGTCTCTGGCACTAATTCCCTCTTTGTATGTTTGGTGGGTCATCAGTGGAAATAATGAGAACAGGCCAATTTGATTTAGCAAAGTCAAGCAGCTCTGTGGTTCCAAATAACAATTGCAGATACAGCTCCAATATTTGAGGATGCATAATCACATTGGGAATATGCCCTTACAAGGTCGTCGTAAATGTAGGGATTTGCACCACAGAGCAGCAATTTGAATGGATTTCTTCCAGCACGATATGCTATTCTCTGAATAATATGCTGTCTTTGTTTTGTGAGTATCGCATAACTGAATCGGACTTGCTTTATTGCACATTCTCTGTCACAAAGATAAAGCAGGTCAGTTCTAGCCATTAGTGCACTGCTTTGCCAGATAAAGTCAAAAATGAAAAGGCTGTTTAATAATGTATTTGTATTGCTTCCATGTGTCACCATTATCAGTAAGAGTAAACAGTGATAGAGGAAATTCAGAGGATCTACATTTTCTATTTTGTAGAGCTAATTTGTTATATTCTGGGGTGAAATGTGTAGCCATCCTGGGCATCAGCACGACAAATCCATTGTGCCTTACCATACTGTCATATCTATCAGCCTTACCAGTCAAATCCAGTGGGAGATGAGAGTCTTTGTGAATGATTTGTATGTATTGCTCTGTCTGCCAGTGCTCGTGGCTTCGCTCGGTGTTTGCGATGTTATCTCTGCTTTTCCCCCCTTTTACGCGATTAAACCGTGAAAAGTGAAACCAGGCGATGTTTAATATCCAGGTCCCTTGTAGGTCATTAGCTAAATGTGCAGAGATAAGGTGCAACTGCTCCAACAACATCCCAAAGTACCTTTTTGTCAGTATAACCCTGAACATTAAGACTGAATTTGTAAACTGAGAAATCATTTTGAAGTAAAATAACTGGTATTTATGCATGTTCACTGAGGTCACTGTCTAAATTACCTTTCCAATTTTCCAATTCCTTTCCCTGCGTCATGTTTGGTAACTATTGCCGTTGCTTGA